AATCTTACATATATATGATATGTAATTTTTAACATATAATCTTCTTTCCCTCACTTTCTTACCGTATTACTATCCTGTTGTTACACAGTTATATGGCTCTCCAAGTGCATAATAATGCTGTGTGGTATATTAATACCAAGACACTGTTCTTCCAGAAGGTGTGCATATACATCTGCATATTGTTCAGCATAGGCAGAAGAAACTGGAATGCAAGTATAAATTGAAAACTAGGCTATTTTAAAAGAGTTAAGCTGAGTTTATAATGGTATGTTAAATGTACATTTGTACATTATGGGAGTATAATGTTTTGGATTTTTTTTTTTTTTTTTTTTAAGATATCTGTCATCAGATCCTGGACCTGTACTCACAGGGAAAACAGCAAATGCCCCATCATACTCCTCACCAGTTGCAGCAGCCACCATCTCTTCAATCCACACCACAGACACCTACGGTACAGCAATCACAGCAGTCTCAGAGTTCAGAGCAATCACAGACTCAGCAGCAAAAAGAGTCGCAACAGTCAGCACAGCAACAGCAGCAGCAGCAGCAAGCACAGGCACAGCAATCTAAAAAGCCCTCTCCCCAGTCAAGTCCTCCTAGACAGATTAAAAGACCGGCAGTAAGTTTAACTTTAACTTGCATTTTATTTTCAAGCTGATCTGACATTCGTTTGATTTAAAGCCTGCAGTGTGCAGCAGCCTTGTGTTTGCTTTAAGAATGAACCTGGTAATTAAGTTGGTATGGTAGGTAGACTTCCATCGGTTATACGGCAAGGTGTGTTTAGTGTAGATGGTAAACTTCACCAGTTATATGGCAAGTATGTTAGTTTTGGCATACCACATTTGTATTCCACTTGAGGTAAAACTAGTGGAGAGGCTTTGATGTCAGCACAAGCTCGTAAGGTTATAATTGTTTGTGGTTCTGTACTATCAAGTTCTGTTGTTTCTGCTGTTAAGCAGACTTGGTTTAGAGAGAGGGTCTCTTGTGCCATACCTGAATGTAGATGTGCACAATGCTGATGATGTTAGTTGATTCTCTGGTCTTTGATTACATTTCTCTTACATAGAATGCTGACTTATAAAGGTATGTCAAAGTTCTTAAAAAAAAGTCTTTCAAAATAATCTAATAACAGAAGAAACCTATAAATGTATCATACATTAAAGTTTCACTATGTCTGTACTATCACCTCATCACTGAGAATAAGAAGGTATGTTAGCAGTTGGATAATACTACAAGTTCTCAGAGTGCTTTCCCACAGTAATCAAATTCAACTGAAGCTTTGAATTTTTAATCTGCACTTTTTATTGTTTGTTTAGTGGGTTTTTTTTGCTTGTAAGTTAATTAAAAAAAACCAAAACCCACAAAAAACAAAACTCCACCCCCAAAAAAAACCAAACAAAAAATAGAAAAAATAAAAAAAAAGAAAAAACCCAACCCAATAAAAAACACCAAACCAAATAAAAAAGGGCTAAGGTGTTACCCAAATCTTCTCACATGTACTTAGTAAGAAATGTTTTGAGAAGTAAAATCTTTGGAACAAGTCCATTCAGGAGGTAAATTTTTTGTACCTTTTGCTCTAACTTGTAATTAATGCATGCCCAAATTAGAGAATAGATGTCAAGGGGGGAAAAAGAAAATAAACAAAACAATAACAAAAGAACCCAACCCAAAACCCAGGAAGAAGCAACAAATGATAGAGTGAGATAGAATTTGAAGGGTGCAGCATCTTTCTGATAACAGCCTACCAAAAAAGAGAAGAATGTAGTGCTGTAAAACCTTGGTCTCTTGTAACTGCTGGACATATCCTACTACTAGAGGAAAAACTCTACACTGAAATGTATAGTCCTTGCACTGAACTTCAGAGTTGTTCAGGATAGAAACATGATAAAATTTGTTAATTAGCTTGAAAATTGGGAGAGCTTTTTATAGGTAGTACATATTTCTTTTCATGCTATTTCTACTACTGGCATAAATTCTGCTTGCTTGGGTTGTTAGATCTGTGGGGCAGGGAACTTCTTCCCCTCCAGCAAAAATGCCTGGAACGTTATCGAATCGTGGAATGATTTGGGTTGGAAGGGACCTTAAAATATAGTTCCAACCCTCCTGCCACAAGCCACGACACCTTCCATTAGACCAAGTTGCCTAAAGCCCCATCCAGGCTGGCCTAGAACACTTCCAGGCATTGTGTAGCCCCAACTTTTCTGGGAAGCCTGTACCAGTGGAAGTGAATAGTACAGATAAACAGGTAAGTCCTGGTACATCGTAGGCATCCAGAACAGCTATAAAGCAAAGTGTGGCTCAGTAGCGCTTTTGTTGCAGAACAGCACAAACAGTATGAATTTGAGAGAAGCAAATGTGATGGTCTGAAATTGTTCATTCTCTGGAAAGCAGTCTAGGGGAGCAAGATGTGTAGTGTTTGAAAGATTTACTTGGTGCTTCTAAAATATTCTTCAGTTAGATGTACCATAAACCTTACTTAAAATGCTTGCCTCCTTCTATAAGTAGGGCTTTGTGTGACTTCTCCTTGTTTTTTTACAGAGCATAGAAACACTTTGTTCCTGGAGGCTAGATTTTCCATTTACAAGAACTCGTATAACTCCATTACCTTCTACTGAGGCATGATACTTTCAAGTAGCTGAGGCACTGGCCCATGCCTTGCAGACTTATGCCAACTATCTAAAGTATCTGCACATCCTTTACATCTCTAGTAGTGAAGAGCACTTTAATGTTCAATTGACTTCACTAAAATTATACTGGTGAATCATTAGATGTAAATAGTACATTTAGTTTGGCTAAACTAGAAATTGTTAGTGGGAACAATTTGAATGCACATGGAAACAGCACTAAAAGAACAGTTCTGCTGAGGTATGGATTTAGCTTATTAAATACCAATCAGCATGCTAAAAGGTAATGTTGACCCTGGGATGTCATGACTGGAGCAATACAAACTACGGTGCAGTAGAAGGACCAAAAAAAAACCCCTCATCTCTTTTGGCAGCTGCCATTATTAGAGAAGTGATTTAATTTTTATAGGCTTCTTGAAATTTTTTTTTCCTTTAGCATAAATGCAATTTAAACTGATGTTTGGGTTTCTATCACATGAGGTACTTGGCTCCAGTTGCTTCTTCCATGCTAAGTGTACCTCAGCGACATTATTTCCTGAACATTACTTCATGTTAGCAAATGCACAGTAATGGAGTTACTTGCCTCTTGAAGTAATCAACTGACTTCATAGAATGAGGGATTTTGGGGAATGTTACATTATGTTGTGGAGACTTGCTTCTATTTGAACGTGCAGGGAGATCTGATGTTTGCATGCAGTTTTACAGGCAAGGAATTTAGTGCTAGAAAATCAAGAAGAGACCACCCAGCAAAATGAAGGCAGCAGATGAGTTTGTGAGAGTCATCAGGAAAAGTATATATGTTTGGAATGGGAAGGTGAAGATTGTCTTTAAAAAGCAGGAGAGCAGCCAGAAAGAAGGTGGCTAGAGATGAATTGAAATGACTATGAATATAAGAATGAGGTGGCCACAAGCAGGCCTTGGGTATCTTTGTAATGGACAGCAAAAATCTTGAGAATACCAGTCAGAATTAAGGAACACTGTTCAAGTTGGGGTGAAATATATGTTCCTTCTTGCCATGGAAAATAATGTAATGAGGGCTGAGCAACAGTTTGTGAAGGTAAAGCCACTGGTGGTAAATAGATGCTTAAAAAGAACTCTTTCATTCAAAAGGCAGAGAAGCCATGTACCACAGCCCTCTAACTTTTATCATTGGTTTTAAATATGTTCGTAACTATGCTTATTGTACTTAAAATTTCAGTGAGGTTTTCTGCTTTTCTCAAAGCCATCTGCTAGCCATCTCAGTTGGACTAAGTAAGCTGGAAAGACTTTTCACAACAAAACAACAACAAAAACCCAACCAAAACCTTGGGATTGGAAGGATGATGGGAGGTTTTGTGGGTTTTGCTCAGTGTGCATGAAGTTTATTTTCTAGCATAACATTTGGCTTTTATACAGTGCTTTCCATCTGAAAGCTTCTGAAATGTTTTATACTGAGCAACATTTTTACTGCCCTCCTGTCCTGGTAAATAAAGCATAAAGGCCTGAAGTGATTTTGGCAAAGGTTGAATGACAGGTCAAAGCAGAATCGGGAACAGAGTCCAAGTCTCTTGCTTTCAGCTCAGTGAGCAGTGTACCGGACCATGATCTATGTGCAGTGGATGATAAATAAGTTAAATGAGATGCAGGACTCAACGGTGAAAACAGCAGGAAAACACTGTATCTAAAATACCTGCTACTTTTTTCTTTTCTTTTCTTTTCTTTTTTTTTTTTTTTCCCCAGTCTTATTCATTCTGCCAGTTAAGCTGAGCTTTCCCAATGTGATTTGACTTTGTTCAGTGTTTGTATTGCATCTGCCTAAAGAGTCTGGATGTTACTAGCCTCCTAATAAAAATACAGGAATGAATAAAGGGTTTGTCCTGCCTCCTTTTAGGGAAGGGAGGAGGAAACTGGTTCTTAGTTGGAGGCTGGTTCTGGTTTAGTTAGAGCTGTACAAAAGCTCTTCAGCAGGTTGTCAGTTGCTTCCTGTTTTGCTCACTACCATTTTAAAATGCTTTGTATTTTGCAGAGGTCTTATTTTTTAATTTATTTTTTTTCTTTAAACAGGCTGTATCTCCAAAAGAAGATACAAAGACATCAGGTAAATGATGATATTCTATATTGCTTGCATTTTACAGTTTTAAACAAAATAAGTCATTTCCTGATATACACTTAATTTGCTTATGGGCTTGGCAGATTTAAACTATTTTAATCCTAATAATGTGTTTTTAAATATATGTCGTAACTATTTTTAAAATGTTCTTAAGTGCAAAACTTGAAAAAATGGATATAACTCTTCCCCAAGTGGAGCCTCTTAATACAGTCTATTCAGGAGAAGTCTTGCTGGCTTACTTAACTCTCAGTGTATAACTCCATGCATCATTTGGAGTAGTTCTTTAGCAAGCTGTGGGACCTTGAAGCGATTGAAGGTACCATGTCATTAAATAGCTGGACTAATGATAAGTCTGTTGGTAGTAGTGACGTTTGTAATCAGTTGTTGGCATGGCTGCCAGTGAAAAGTATTTTGTATCAATGTATAGTCTAGATTAAGAAATGCTTCATTGCAGTGATCACATCTAGTTCTTTTTGTTTGTTTGGGTTCTGTTTCTTCATTTTGCTGTTCTGGAGCAATGTATTTCAGGGTAGCTAGGATGTGATTCTGTAACCTTAAGTAAGTTTGGCACTTCCATCACTATGGCTCTGCGTATAGATTCCAGAGAGCTGCCTCTTCTCTCTTCTCTCTCCTGTGCAATTGTAGTTTTGTTTTATTTCTAGATACATGTTTCCCTAGCAGCGAATAATTCAACATTTTCTTAGATTTGTTTTAACTGTTTACAAGTTACAGTTTTGTGCTAGAAAATGTACACATGCTCATCTTCACTTACATACTGTTCCTGGGACAGCTCATCTCTAGTTATAAAATACACAGCTTCAACTTGCAAGGCATGTGTTCTTTTGGAAGACTTGTATGTGATGCTTGATGCCACTTTATTCATGCAAAGGTCTGTATTTTAGTTTTCTTTTATTAAACATAGCTAGTATATAGGATTTCCACTGTACTTTTGCATAGAGTGATATGATAATCATTAGCGTGAGACCAGAGTCAGAATTTGGAAAATATTGCAGAGCGGTGGCCAATTAGGAACTTCCAAATGTTTTTTAGAACCACCACCACCATCTAAAATTCCGAAAATTGAAACTTCACATCCACCAATACCTCCTGCACATCCACCTCCAGGTAAGCTTTCATTTTCTTAAACACATTTGCTCTTGCTGTTAATTACGTTACTTTTCACTCAGATGATGGTCACAGTGTGGGGCAGGGGTTGTTGCCTTGATTAATCAGCTTGGCAAGTAAAAACATTAGGTAGATAAGCTCTAGAGGGAATTTGATCTTGGTAGCACAGGCTTTTCCAGACAGAAGCAAAGAAGTTATGATGGAAACAAGACTGTCTTAGGTGGACAAAGGCAAAACAAGGTTGTGACTGTTAAAGGCGTAGAAGACTGTCACTAGCAGGCAAAAAAGGGACTTACATGCTCAAAAGGATGGCAGATGCCACATTGTATTCCTAAAGTATCTTCCAGTTGTCCTATAGAAGTTCTCCATGTTACATCCTTAGTATAGAAATTCTTCAGGTGTGTAACTTCTGAACAGTAAGGGGGATGCTTTCTTTGCCGTGTCCCAAAAGAGGGCTTGTATCTGCCAGAGAACTTTAAAATTGCACACATCTTACGTTTGCAAAATGAATTGTACTGTTATAAAAATGTGCTTCCAGTGACTTGATGCATTAGCTGTCCTTCCAGTGACCCTTAAATATGACATAAATATTTTATAAAGTATGGTCCATAATGTAACTCTAAGATGACAGCTTCTAATAGGGAACTATAAGAGAGAATAAGTGCTCTGTAATATAGTAGGACCATTTTTCCTGTTCGTTAAATTAAGAATGAAGGGGTTCTTCTAAATACCATGTTCATTATTCCTTCAGTTGTTAAATCTTGAGTGCAAGTCTTGCATCCAGAATTATTCTGAAAAGGAGCAAATGGGGAAATTATTACCTGCTATGATTTGGGAACTAGAAGTCATTGAAATCATAGGTACCACAGCCAGCATACCCACCTTGCATGATCTAATTATGTAGTTGTCCCAGGGGACAGTTTTGCTGTTAAAATTATGACTGTTTAGATAAGGTAAATCCTATGCAGGCAGGTAACAAATTTGTTTCCCATGTTATCTAAAATTTTCCTCTTAAAATTGTTACAAGCAAATCATTCTATAACCACTGAAATATTTTAACAAGAGTCTTTAGAGGCCAACTCCTTTCCTGGGGCTCTGAGGAAAAATTAGGGGTAAATCAAGAATGTTTATTGGCCAAATGAACAGAAGTTCTAGAAAGTGAATTTATCTCAAATTTAGCACTGTCAGTTTAGTTGTTGTATGTCACTGGAAATTACTGCCCTACATCTGCTTCTAAATAACATTTTCTTACTGAACAATGTCTTAGATGTTTATATATACAAGCAAGGTGGATGTCAAGGTGCTGCAAACTCTTGTTTTGTTGGGCATTTTAATACTGGCTGTATGACCGTACAGAGATACTGCCATAGGTCAGTCTTCTAATTGTGGTATTTGTTACTTTGTAACATCCGCATTAGGAGGAAAAAGAAATAATTTGAATTCTTATATAAAGAGAAGACAGCTTAAAGCATGTTCTTTCCAGAAATGGCCAAGTATAGCTCTGTAAAATTCTGACCTTTTCATGAACTTCCCCAGACTTATCAGGTGATGAGTTCCCTGAAACTAATCAGTTGAACAAAGCTGATCGGATTTCATATCCCAAGCAACCTATTGCTTTTTCTTACTTACCCTCCAGTTTTCATTTTACGAACAGGTTTAGAACCAAGTGTTAAAGACTTGAGACTTCAGACTGTGTTCTCAAATAATTTCCCAATGTGGGAGGCAGGTGAAGTGCAGAGGGTAATCCCAGGCCACCTCCCGGAGTATAAAAGAGGTAGAAAGGTGTCCTCCTTCTGGACTAAAGAAGATTGAAGCATGATCAAAAGATTTTTTGGTTTCTTGGGTCCCATGACTTCTGCATCTGCTAGTTGTGATTCTGTCCATCCAGACTGCTGATTTCTGCTGACTGTAGAACAATATTTAAGTTGTAAGAAAGGAAGATACATTTAACCTTTAGAATGGGAAAAGCTGACCTTGGAACTTTGTTAGGCAGCTTAGTTATTTTCTAGTGAGATAAGAAGGTCTGACCGGATACCACATGGCATTCAGAGACTTGGAGAATTGCGTCCTCCTTTGATATGTTAACTGGAAGAAAAATATATGGTATTCAGGAGCTGTTATTGCCACTGTCCATCAGAAAAATGAATGAAATTTTCTCTTGCAGAGCGCAAACCTCCTTTGACAACTGCAGTTTCAATGGGAGAAGCAGAGCAATCTACTACTGTGGACTCAGTAGATATGCCAAAGGTCCAGATTCCTCCCCCTGCTCATCCTGCCCCAGTACATCAACCTCCGCCTCTGCCGCATCGTCCGCCGCCCCCACCTCCCACCAGTTATATTACAGGGATGTCTACTACAAATTCCTATATGTCAGGGGAGGGTTATCAGAGTCTTCAGTCAATGATGAAAACAGAAGGACCAACTTACGGAGGTTTACCACCGGCCTACGGACCACCAGCTCATCTACCATATCATCCTCATGTCTACCCTCCCAACCCTCCACCACCAGTTCCACCTCCACCCCCTACTTCATTCCCCCCACCCAATATTCCACCTCCCACTCCAGGATATCCTCCTCCACCCACATACAACCCTAATTTCCCACCTCCAAGACTGCCTCCAACTCATGCAGTACCACCTCATCCACCTCCAGGGCTGGGAATGCCACCAGCTAGTTACCCCCCACCTACTGTTCCCCCAGGTGGACAGCCGCCTGTACCACCTCCAATTCCACCACCTGGTATGCCACCTGTAGCAGGACTTGGACGTGCTACGTGGATGAGATAGCATGAGGTAATTTGCACGATATCCCTTTCTAGGCAGGAGTAGCTAACCAAAACGTACATTGTAAAGATGAAGAGGAGGGTAATTTGTATAATTTAGATGAAGAAATGAGGAGGTGAAATGAAAATTTAGCTGATCTGTTTGCAGTATTGTTTATGGTGAGTTATATAGGCTTCTAGATTTTAATCAGCTTTGCAGTATCCTAACTTTATACATTTGACTTAAGTTTAAATTGTCTTGAGTTATTCCAGCACTGGATTACTTTGTACTAGCAAAACCAGCCATATTGGCTCAATTGTATCAGCAAGAAGAAAATTTCCTTCTAGAAATCAGTGCCTGTTTTTGCCTATCAAAATAGCCAGATACCATGACATTTGGTTTATAACAGGAAACTTTTGTGTTTAGTAATTAAAACAACAATGTCAAGCGTAAAAGCTACTGTATTTAAGAGAGATTCTGAGTGCTAGCTGACTGGAATCATTTTGAGATGTTGGCCTTGCTGATATTTTTGTTTTGGAATGTACTGGTATCTTAAAGTATTGTATGTTTACACCTATTTGCAAATTCCTGTACATAATATATATATTTTGTAAGTGTGAAAGTCTGAATGTAACAACCTACTGTGATGAACATCCTGGTTATAAATGGGACTACTTCGCTCACATCTACTCAAATAAAATTGGTTCTGAATTTAGTGGATTTCCAGGTTTTTCATATTAGTTCAGAATTCATAACTGTGGTACTTTTTGCAAGATATTTCAGCAGGGGTCTCCCAAATCTTATTCATAAGTTTATTTAAAAAGAATGTATTTTATTTTATTCAACTAGAAGTATACACTATCACAATCAATCTCTTACTTCATTTTTACTAAAATATTTCAAATGAATGTTTTACACACATTATTAAAAAAATCTGTACTATTACTTTCCCTCCCCCAAAAGCCAGAGTGGTTCAATAGTAGGTAAAAACGTGTGCTAAGGTCTAAAGAATTTTGCTATATATACAACAGCAGGTGCTGACTTTTCCAGTTCTTTGTAAATCATATACAGAAAATATAGCAGGGCTGTAAGATCACAGGTTTAACAGAAATCAAACTTTAAAACTGATTTCTAAAGCAGCACAAATAGACTTTCCCCACATTATGAAAAATATACAATTTTATCACTTTACAGTCATGCACTTTGAAAAAGATCAGTAGT